GTCCTGGACAACGTGCGCTGCTCCGGGCAAGAGTCCTACCTGTGGCGTTGCCCCCACAATGGCTGGAACTCGCACAACTGTGTCCATAGTGAGGACGCCAGTGTCATCTGTTCAGGTGAGCCTCTTGTCGTTGGGAGTTTCTCTTGCTGTTGGGTAGGGAGGAGAGACCTCCTGTCCTGATCAGATCGTTGGAAGCTACTTATACCCTCCCTGTCTTCCTCATGTCTCCTCAACTCTCCTCCAGTGTCAGTATCAGTTTTTGTCTGGCTTCCATTTGTCTAGATGATAAATTAGGACAAGTGCCTAACCCCAAGTCCCCATGATGCCATTCATTGCCTCTTGCAACACTGTAGCTGGCGACGAAAGAGCCGCCTGCCGGAGTTCTCTCATGGGCATCCTATGATCAGGATTGCAGACCAGTATATGTGTTCCTACTGCTGCTCCAGGTTTGGGGTCCTTAGTCCCAGTATATGTCCCCCTCGAGAATTGTGATTCCAGATATACCTTGTCATGACCGCTGTTTAAGCCTGAAGGATTGACATGCATTTTGGGGTAGTTGTATTCCTCTGTCTTGCTGCCATCGTGAGCCACTCAAAGCTCAAGGCAGTTGATTGGTTTTTGTCAACTTTGTCACCGCTTGTATACATGGAGCCAAACACCTTGACCTGGGAAATCATGTTCTGTGTCTGCCTGGCCCTGTGAAGTCGGGCATCATCCAGGGTGTGGATATCACATGACCCACCCTCCATAGCTGGGGACTCACTTCCAAGGTGTCTACCTGCTTAGTTCCTTCCCCTCTGCATCCAGTTGTGCTAGGTTTGTGCACCCTTCTCATGTGCTGTTGTCTCTTCACAGCTGCCCAGTCCCAGCCCACGATCAGACCAGGTGAGTTCTGCTGCCTCTTGCCTGTTACCCATCTCTCTCACCTTCCTCCTGTCCTAGGCCCAAGTTATAGCTACAAATAGGACTGTGGCATCTTTCTGATTCCCTGGACCTTCCCTTATCACTCTCCATCCTGTAGACAGTTCTGGTTGAATCCACAATCGATTTTCCTGTGTGGCTCAGTGGCATAAGTGCATTCTAACCGCACAATCTTCACTCTATGCTTTTGGTGGCAGTCAGTGTTCTCTTCCGTGGTCATTTGTGTCTGAAAGCATCGTCTGGACCAAATTCTACAGGGATGGGAAAATAGGTATTTCATGTCATTATCCCACATGGAGCCTTCCCAAAGGAATGCCTTTCCTAAGAACATTCTGTCCGGAGTGCATGGCAGTTGTTATTGCAGATTGTACCACCTTGTTGCCATTGTCGTGAACATTCGAGGGCAGGAGTTTGGCTCGTGGTAGGCTCTCCGCAGAGGCCACATTCCACTTCATCCAGCAGAACTCCTGAGACCCCACTGTCCTTGATTCTACTTACTGGTCACTTAGCTAACCTTGATCATATCCCCCTCCTTTCTGACTGTGCTTTGTTTGTTTTTTTTTTTTTCCCAGATTGGTGGTATACGACTTCTTTCTATGGTGAGCATCCTGGATCCTGTCAAACCAGCAAACATGAAACAAATTCATCAACTGGCATTGGTGACATTTCTGAATGTTGGGTTCAGCCTCTGTTGCCCCCACCCTGTCCAGTGTGGGGTTTTCCTTTCCCCACAAGAATTATGATTTCCACCACCCACGCTTTGTGGGAGCTACTAGTCAGGGCACTCTTGTTTACAAGTGATAGGAAACTAGCTCAGCCTCTTTATGCTAGTAGAGAGTCAATGGCTCACATATTGAGGACAGTAGTGCAAAAGCTCTAGCTCAGGAAAACTGGATGTAAAAGTTACAGCACTGTCTTCCCCCCATTGTTTTTCTTACTTGCATTTTTTTATGTTTTACTTTTTTTTTTTTTGAGAGACAGAAAGACAGAGTGTGAGTGGAGGAGGGGCAGAGAGAGAGGGAAACACAGAATCTGAAGCAGGCTCCAGGCTCTTAGCTGTTAGCACAGAGCCCGACACGGGGCTCAAACCCACAAACTGTGAGATTGTGACCTGAGTCTAAGTTGGTTGCTTAACCAACTGAGTCACCCAGGTGCCCCCTTACTTGCACTTTCTTATGTGCATGGCTTCACCCTGGGTGCTTTCTGCATGTGGGGGGCAGTTGCCAGCCCTTGGTCTCTATGCCACCAGGCGAAAGACTCCATTTGTCTGCATATCTCTGGTGACATGTCTTCGAAGGACTTGAGCACCTTCTTGGCAGTAGATGAGTCACCAGAACCATGTCCATGTGCTCTGATAGCCTGGTCAGGGTCCCCATGCCCACTTTCCTGTTCCCCAGGAGAGAGGGACTGGATGTGATACTATGCTCTACTTAAACCTTATGGAATGAAGTCTTCACTGGTTTATACAATAGGAAGGATGGTTTCTGTACTTAAAGTTCAGGGCAAGAGATTTCTGACATGAAGAAAGACCTCCCCTGTTGCAGCTTTCTTCTCTGCCAGGTAGTCTCTCCTGAATGCTGTCCATGCTTGTGTAGCCCGGCACAGAGCATTGCCTCTCCCTGGGGTGTCAGCCCACATTGCACTTTGCTCTGGAGTTGGCCTCTAGCATAGGGTCCAGTTCTGTGCTGACAGTACAGTGTCTATGGGGCAACTTAGAGCGCCTGGATTTCCCCTAGACTCTGGTAGCTCGTCTTCCATAGGGACAGCAGGACTCTCAGCTCCTGCTCACTTTAATTCTGCAGTAAACTCTGGTTATGGGTTCTGTGACTCAAGACTATAGTAGATGGCCAAATAATTTTTGTTTTCTGCTCTTTGGGTCTCTGGGATATATCTACCACAAAACTTATCAATTTAAAGTGTAGAATCCTGAGCTTTTTAGTGTGCTCACCAAGTAGTACAACCATCACACTATCTAGTTCCAGAATTTTTCATCACCTCTGTTGGAAATCCCATGTCTTTAACCATTCACATCCCAAGCCCCTTTATAGCCTGGTCATCACCTCTGTGCCAATGGATTTGTTCACTCTGGACATTTCATATGAATGGAATCAGCCAATACAGGGCCTTGTGTGACTGGCTTTTTTCAGGCAGTAGACTCTTTCATGGTTCACCATCGCGGTGCATGTATGCATTGTCAGGATGCATCCCTATCCTTTTTTCTATCCATTCATTTGTTGAAGGGCATGTTGATTGTTTCTCCCTTTGAGTATTTTGAGTAGTATTTCCATGTACTTCTGTGTACAATTTTCTTGTTTGAACACCTGTTTCCAGACCTTTTGTGTGTATATCTAGGTGTGGAATGGTTGGGTCAAATGATAATTTTATGTTTACTTTTTGTGGAAGTACTGAACTGTTTAACACAGAAGCAGCACCAATTTTGGGTAGGAGTAGCAGCATCTAAGTTGCTTTTTCTACATCCTCAGACTTCTTCTGGTCCTTTATTGTAGTCATCCTTGTGGGCAGGAGTTGCTATCTTTCTGTGGTTAGGATTTGTATTTTCCTAACAGCTAGAGAATTGGGCATTTCTTTCATGTGCTTGCTGCATGTGTCCATCTGCTTGGAGAGCATGGCCCCCATTTTATAAATGCCTGAAGGCCTGAGGACCACACCATGGTCAGTGCCGAAGCACATCTCACGGGATAGTGAGGGCAGGGTCCAGGTGAGCCTGAGGAATCATGATGTCTGGTCTCGTGCTGAATCTGGCAGCTACCCTTCCTGCCAGCAGGCCTAATGCTACCATGTTTTGTTTCTTTTCTGCCACCCACAGGCCTGGGCAGCTCTAAGTATGCACAGCTAGGAATCAGTGATAGTTACTCCTGCTCACTGTCATGATATTCAGAGGGTTCATGGACTGTTAAAGATTCAGTACAACCTTCGGGCTTGAGGGTGACATGAGTTGGTGGTCAGCAGTAAAGGAACCTTCAGAAGAAGCCTCAGGCCCAGAGGTAGGGTCCATGATATATAGGACAGTCAGGTAAAGGTAGACACTCCAAATGCTAGGTCCTAGGACATCTCCTTGGTGGCGGCTGGGTAGGATCTCTGGGTTTGAAGTAAGTGCTTGGTTGGTTGCTGAGGTACTAGGTCATGCTGCTGGCTTTCACCATCGCCCCTGTATCCCATGACCTGGGTCAGCAATTGAAACGATGACATTGTGGGCAACCAATCAGTGAACATACATAAGTCATCTGACACTCAAGGGCACCTAAAGTAGACCCTGGATGATGAATAATGATGAGAAAGCTTCAGGGAGTCCTGTTGCTGGGCAACCTTAACCTGATCCCAGAAGTCACGGTCCCTGTAGTAAGTCTTATCCACTCAGACCTCAGGAACTCTTCCTACAGTAACAAAAAAGAAGGTAATTTTCCTGTCTCCTGCTAGGGAATGAATCAGGTTTGGCCCTGAGGCTGGTGAATGGAGGTGACCGGTGTCAGGGCCGCGTGGAGGTCCTGTACCGAGGCTCCTGGGGCACCGTGTGTGACGACGACTGGGACACCAATGACGCCAACGTGGTGTGCAGTCAGCTGGGCTGTGGCTGGGCCGTGTCGGCCCCGGGAAGTGCCCGCTTTGGTCAGGGCTCAGGGCCCATTGTCCTGGACAACGTGCGCTGCTCCGGGCAAGAGTCCTACCTGTGGCGCTGCCCCCACAACGGCTGGAACTCGCACAACTGTGGCCACGGGGAGGATGCCGGTGTCATCTGCTTAGGTTGGTCTTCACAAAATTGGGACTGTATTTATTATTTGTAATTTTCTCTAGAAAAAACTCTTTTCTCTCACAGGTCTCTTAATCTTTCTGAAGTTCTCTAATGGCAGGCAGTTTCCTTCATATCTTGAAAGACACTGCATGACCAATCATCCCTGGTGTCCTTGAATTTTATGGGAGGACTGGAACATCTTCTCTAGCTGGGGCCATAGGGCAGAGCCACATATTAATGTGCATAAAGGTTGTAAGAACAAATTCTTGCAACACTTTTTTTGTGGAGACCTGCCTCGAAGCTTTTCATTTACCATTCAGCTCCTCTGCACCACTCCTGGAAAGTCTTTCTTAGTGATAAACGGGACAGGCACTCAACAATTCTGTTTCTCAGAATCCTGAGTGGCTTCTTCCAGAATGTCCTTCACAGAGACTGATAAGGTATTTTCTTTTCTCACAGCCTCCCAGAGCACCTCTACTACCCCAGGTGAGTAGGTGCATCTCTGCACAGTGTGGGCCCCTCTCCTGAATTCTACTCTAATATTTCTAGAAATAGGAGGAGAAGACCAGGATCTTCTCTTTGAGGACTCTGGGATGTGTTGCAGTGACCAGCTGAGTCCCCAGGACCTTAGTTCTTACTTAGCTTAGCCTGAGGGCCCTTCTGGGGCCCCTGCCACTCTCTGCGGCCAGCGCTTGTTCAGAGAGGCTGCTGTGGAAGAGGTTTGGGACCCTCTGGTCATTTCAGATGAAATAATTGTTTGAGTCAGAACCGTGATCATTTGAGAAACACGACCCAGTACAACTTGTACAAGTGCTTGTCTGTTTCAAGAATCCCTTCACATCGAGAGAGCAATCTGCAAAGTGTGCCTTGCCCTACTGCAAAAATATTTGGTGCCATGTGTGTGGGTAAGTGTTACACACACTAGCCCACCCCAACCATTCGCAGTGTAAATGAGAAATGTCTGGGCTCTGAGAAGCCCTTTATTAAGCAAAAGAATTGAGCTTTCTCTACCAAATGAATGACCGTGGAATTTAAACCTAAAAGCATTTCATTTTCTTTCTAGATTGGTGGTACCCACATACTACGACCACTGGGAGTAAGTATCATGTTCTTCCACCTGAGGGCATGGGGTTCTCATCCCCAGGCTTGGCTGTCCAGGCAGGAGATGCCTGTAAATGAACAGCCCAGTTCAACGTGCACACATAACCTCCCTAGGTCTGCCCCACTGCACACCGCATTCCAAACTACACACACAGCCTGCATCTACCTTCCACACCCTCAGCCCTTACGTCCCCCCTGCCAGGTAGATGATTTTTGTTTTCATAAGGAGATCTACTTCCCCTTCCTTTAAGGAAATGAAATAAGTGATTCTTCAAGGAATAGACAAAGGCTTTTATTTCTTGGAGGCTCTCCAAAGCTTTGAGAGAAGGGAGATGATAAATGGGTAATTTCACAAATAACCATGTTTTTACCAGTTTTCCCTTGTGATATGGCTATTGTTCAGTAGCTTTCCATCACTCTTGAGAAATTATATGGCCACTTGTTTATGTCATCGAATATTCTCTTTCCATCGTTTTAATGCCTGCATTGTATTTCATTACACAGTTATGATCACGAATTATTTAACTAATCTCCAATTGCTATTTATATTTCTTCATTATTATGAATGATCCTTGATGTAGAATATATATTTTTTTGAGAGAGAGAGTGCACAAGCAGGAAAGGAACAGAGAGAGCGCGAGAATCCCAAGCGGGCTCTACACTGTCAGTGCAGTGCCCAATGCGTGACTTGATCCCACAAACTGTGAGATCAAGACCTGAGCCGGAATCTAGAGTCGGACACTTAACTGACTGAGCCACCCAGGCACCTGAGTATCTAAATACTTTTAAATGGCCTATTAGACTGGCCAACGAAAGTTTGAATGCTAAATACTATTTGTCATTCTCTGCTAAATAGTAATAGCTAATACTGTTGGGTGCTTCTTATGTGCCAGGAAATGCTCTGAGAGTTTTCACGTATTGTCTCATTTAATACTCCTAAGAATCTCGGGGCGCCTGGGTGGCACAGTCGGTTAAGCGTCCGACTTCAGCCAGGTCACGATCTCGTGGTCCGTGAGTTCGAGCCCCGCGTCAGGCTCTGGGCTGATGGCTCGGAGCCTGGAGCCTGTTTCCGATTCTATGTCTCCCTCTCTCTCTGCCCCTCCCCCGTTCATGCTCTGTCTCTCTCTGTCCCAAATATAATTAAAAAAAAAAAGTTGAAAAAAAAAATTTAAAATACTCCTAAGAATCTGATGAGAGATGTTATGATCACTCCCAGTTCTCAGATAAGGAAGCTGAGGCAGAGAGGTTAAGTGACTTGCTCAAGATCATGGAGCTGATAACGGCAGAGTCAAGCTGCAAGCCCGGGCCTTCTGTGGCAGAAACCCTACTTTCGACCCCACTTTACACTGCTTCTTGTCAACTGGCAGGAGACCCTAGGGAATAAGTTCCTTTACACAGCGCTCTCCATGGGACAACACTCCCACTCAGCCAGCGTTATCCCTGTAACCCCCTGAACAATGACAATCATCACTTTGTTGCTTTCTTGGCATTTTTGCTTCAAGGTGACTCATGCTCTCTCTGAAGCTTGGGTCACCTCTGGACAGAGAGTCACTTTTCTAGGCCCTTTGGGGGAGGTAGATCCTCAGATCAAGGTCCCTAATGTGAGGCAGCCCAGGACCGGGCCCAAGAGAGGAAAAACTGAGTCATGTTCTAAGGTCAGAGGACTCGTACCCAAAAGACAATTGCTTGTTGTAACACACCTGAAACCTGCCATGTTGGTGTGTCCCTCTCTCTCCTCTGTAGGACCCTCTTCAAATTGTGGTGGCTTCTTATTCAATGCCAGTGGGACATTTTTCAGCCCATCTTACCCTGGATACTACCCCAACAATGCTTACTGTGTCTGGGAAATAGAAGTGAACCCCGGCTATCGCATAAATCTGGGATTCAACAGTCTGCAGTGAGTAACAGCCAGGTCATCTGGCGAAGGATGGTCCTCCACGGTTTGGGCTGTGTGCGGGGCTGAGATGCTTTACACTCTCAGATGCCATGGACCACGTGTCACATTGCTCTGATCCTACCATGAAGCGTCCAGCAACATTGGGAATTCCTTTAATCTGATTGAGGAACAGCTCAAAGAATATTTTAGATTCAGTAACGTTGCCCGTGAAAGTCCAAACTATCTGTAAAATACAGGAGCGATAGAGATTTCAATGTTGACATGAATCCACTTTTTCATACAGGCTGGAGGTGAACAGCAATTGCAGTTTCGATTATGTCGAAATCTCTGATGGACCGCTGAACAGCAGTAACTTGCTGGGGAAGATTTGTAATGGCACCAGGCAAATATTCACCTCTTCTTACAACCGAATGACCGTTCGATTTCGAAGTGACATCAGTATCCAAAGCACTGGCTTTTCTGCTTGGTATAACTCCTTTCCTCGAGGTGCGTTCACACTAAACCCGATCGACCTGACCTTGGAGGCTCAGTGTGTTTATGTGGACCCTGCTTCTGGGTATCGTGGTTCCCACATGAAATCAAACAGCCCTCCTCCTTGTCTCACAGTTGACTGGTAAACGAAGGCTAAGAGATGTAGGGAATGGGGGACACAGCCTGGTCTTGGGTTTGCCACGAAATTCCCCGGAGACCTGGTGACTGACCTTACTGTGAACCAGCATGTTCCCATCTGGAGGGTGAGGGGGTCTGAGCCCCTTCCAGCTTGATCTTGGAGACATCTGTACCCTGATCAGCCGCCTGGTGACTTTAGGAGTGAGAAAGGCCCATGGGTTATTTGGCCTGTGAGGTCTGTTGTGGGAGTGGCCATCATTTCTTATGCCGTGTGTCTTTCAGATGCCAGCCTGAGATTAGTCAGTTCAAATTCCTCCTACGGTGCCTGTGCCGGGCGTGTGGAAATTTACCACAATGGCATATGGGGGACGGTTTGTGATGACTCCTGGGACATTCAGGATGCCCAAGTGGTCTGCAGACAGCTGCGGTGTGGATATGCAGTGTCAGCTCTGGGAAATGCTCATTTTGGGCCCGGCTCTGGTCCCATCACCCTGGACGATGTGGTGTGCTCCGGGACAGAATCTACTCTCTGGCAGTGCCGGAACCGAGGCTGGTTCTCCCATGACTGTGCCCACCGGGAAGATGCCGGAGTCATTTGCTCAGGTACCACATGACGTCATTCATGGAAGGCCCCTTTCACCTCTGACCTGCTACAGAGTGACAGCTAAGGGCCGGTGGCTGATGGTATTTGTGGCCCAGTTCTGGAAGTGGAGGCAGACCGGAGCTTGTCAGCTTATGCCCTTGGCCTTCCCACTCCAGGAGACCATGCAGGGACCACTGTGTCTCCGGTGGGTTTCTGGGCCCCAGAGCCATCACGCTGAACACACAGCTGGCGTGCAGTGTGTTCTCACCCTTCTATCTGCCCTGTGACCTTTAGCAATGAGGTCATGTCTGTAGGCCTCAGTCTCCTCGTGTATGGAGAGGAGATGGTCACAATAAGCCTGCTTCCAAGGGCGATTAGAGAACTAAGTGGCTCATGCGCGTGAACCCTTAGAACGGTTCCAGACAAGTAGGAAATGAGGAATGAGTGATGGTGTGACTTTGGCTGTGGCACTGACGACCCCCAGGTAATGATGGGGCTGGGGGAGCAGCTGGGGAGATGTGTGCAGGCCTCCCCCTGCTAACACAGGCCTCCACAGCACAATGCGCTCACTGAAGAGGTCAGACTGTGTCACTTGGGTGTGCCCTCCCGCATTCTGGCCCCTCCTCCAGACACACTTCAGTGACTGATGCTTTTTTTCTATCCCTTTACAGGAAGCTACCCAACAACACAGGGTAAGTACCCGTGATTCCTGCCCGCTGCCTGGCCGGCCCTCTCCATTGCTGGTGCAAGATGTCCCACTCGGTTTCACAAGAGCTGTCCCCAAGGCCTTCCCCAGCACTGGGGGCAACCCTGCAACTAATGTCCCTACCTGAGGAGGCTGGGCCTCTCTCTCGGCTCCCTTTGTTCATCAGTAGCCTGGCCAGCCTGGCCAGCTCTCTGGTCAGTCCCTAGGAGAGGCCAGCCACCCGTGTAGGTCCTGCCTATCCTTAGGACACCAGACCCTGCTCAGTGCAGGCCAGTGGGTTCTGTTTCATCACTGAACTCCATGCAGGGCCAGTAGAAGCTCCTGATTGCCCGGAGAACTGAGCTCCTGATTGCTCTGGAGCTCCTGATTGCTCCGGAGCTGTGGCCAAAATTGCTCTAAGCATTTCCAACACACCCCTGGCTCCTGAGATCTTTCCCCTCTGTCCCCACCCCTCCCCTCCTCACCACCTGCTTCCTGCAGCAGCGACCCCTCAGCCTCCCTGCCTTCATTCTTCACACAGCCGCTGGGCATCCTTATGAAATGCAGGTGTTGGTCCCAGCTCCCACACCCTTGCACCCTTCATGTGACTCCCCAGGGCCATCTGGCCACAGATCCCCACTGCTTGGGAGAGTCTCTAGAGCTCTCCATGATCCACTCCCTTTGTCTGTTTCATTTCCTCCCCACCCCCTCCTTGCTCCATCCACACTGATGTTCCCTAAATGTGCAACGTACTCTCAGACCTGGGTCCCTTTGCACATTCTGTTCCCTCTGCCTGGAATGCCCCTGTACTTTTTTTTGCCTGATTCCATCCCCCCCACCCCCCCCCCCCCCCCCCTCACCCCCAGCAAATTACCTGCCTTCTCTCCTCTGCTTAGTCTGGGTCAGGAGCCAATGCTCTGGGCTCCCACCATGTCCTGGGCTTACCCAGGGATTTGCTCCTTCCCATCCATCCCTCTGGGGTGTGAGCTCCCTGAGGGCAAGTATCCGGCATTTGGCTTTGAACCCAGGGTCGGCACATTTCCTCACAGCACAAGTGAGGACAACAACTGTGTCCACGATGCCAGGAAACTGATTGTTATCTTTTCTCTTTATCAACAGCTCCCGTTTACAACGTCACCTACCCGAACAGTAAGTTCTGGGCTCTCTGAGAAATCCCCCTCTTCTTCCCCAGTGACGGTGCTAGCAGGTGGGGCGGCGGGGGTTAGGGGAGCCTCTCTGGACAGTCTGGGTCTAGGACGCCTCCTGCTGGGTTTCTGTCTAGGGAGTTGTTTAAAAATTTCCCCCAGGTGACTGTGCCGTGGGCTCTGGGGGTCCTCAACATTTTTGTTTCATCTCGACAGCAAATTACTCCTGTGGAGGCTTCCTGTCCCAACCATCAGGGCACTTTTCCAGCCCGTTCTATCCTGGGAACTATCCAAACAATGCCAAATGCCTGTGGGACATCGAGGTCCGAAACAACTACCGTGTGACTGTTGTCTTCAGAGATGTCCAGTAAGTGTGTGGGGCTGCCTCACGGATATTTCAGAACAGAGCAAATGGCACCTAGCCCTTCAGGAATGATGTTTGCCCACTTGACATGTTCTCTTATGGGTTCAATTTGTTTATCAAGCACAGAGGCAGCCCGTGGAGGTGCAGCCAGGACAAGAGCCTTGGTTTAAAGTCCCAAGTCTGTCACTAATTTGCTACGTGACCACAGGAAGTCACTTAATTTTCCTGAACCTGAGTCAAAGCAAGAGAATAAAATACCTGCTTCCCTCTCCTCTCTGGCTACTGGGAAGGTCACACGAGAGAAATATGTGAAAATACTTGGAAAATATTATCCAATAGGAGGGATGATTGTTGGAGTAATAGTAACACAGAGAATCTTATTAACCACCCCGGTTGTGGTTTTTTTGTTTGTTTTGTTTTTTTTTTTTTTTAAACAATTTTCTCTCCACTCCTTCCTTTTTTGGGATGAGTTCTTGGGGTCAAGCAGAGGTAGAGAAGTCACTACTGCAGAGGTTAATTTATCTGTTCCTCATTCAATGAAGAGTGGGAATCACTGTTGTAAGCAGGAGAGACAACATCAAAGCCACATTAATATAATATTGGTCCAAGGAAGGGAGTGACCACGCAGAGGTATTTTAGAGTCCAGGAAGGAGGGTACCATTATTTTTTCTGTAATAGCCATTCTTGAACAGAATGGTTTTCTTTTGGTTGCGGTGCCCTTGCGAATCTCTGCCTTGGAAATTCATTTGGAGTCTTGTAAAAGATATAATATTATTTTAATTTCCTCATCATTATAATTCAATTTGGATTTCGGAGACTGTACTTAAAGCCCATTCGATCCTCTGGAGGAAGGTTGACCACCTAACCTTCAGAGAGGTTATTTGACTTGCCCAATATTTATTAGTTCAGTTACCTATTTCTATCACTATGAATTCATGAATATTTATATTATTCTATGGGAAACCAGGGTCTGTTTGAATGAAGAAACAGTCTAAGGCAGGCTGTGACCCCTTCCTTTCATGGTGCAGCGGGGTGTCAGGAGGGGGGCTGTAGATTCATATGTGTGACCCCCAAAAGGCAGGACTAAGATCCATGGAGGTCACCGGAAGGTGAATGTCACTGTATTATCTTCAGCTATTATTTTCAGAAAGTCGCCATTTCTGACACCAAGGTGTGGCCCCCGTCACTGAAGTCTGACCCCCTGCATTAAATCCTGGCTGAAATCGAAGCCAAAACTCTGTGTTCTGTCCCTGCAGGCTTGAAGGAGGCTGTAACTACGACTATATCGAAGTGTTTGACGGCCCCTCCCACAGCTCCCCTCTGATTGCCCGCGTTTGTGATGGAGCCAGGGGCTCCTTCACTTCATCATCGAACTTCATGTCCATTCGCTTCGTCAGCGATGGCAGCATCACAAAGAGGGGCTTCCAGGTCGACTACTATTCCCGTCCTTCCAATGACAGCACCCGTAAGTCCCCTCGTGAGGGCTCGTTGTCAAGGGAACCTCTGAGAGGCTTCTGCTGCCCAACCCTTCTGTGGTTGTGAAGTAAGAAACTAGGGCAACCTTGTCAGGTCACCGAGGCTTATCTGGTGCTGGGAGGGGCCGAGAGCAGTGGCCTTGGACTCTGGCTGCCCAGAAATGAGGTCAAGGGCCAGAACTGGCCGATGGGCAGTGTGGTGGCCTTACTGTGGTCATCAGAGACTAAATGTGAGGTCATACTTTCAGCACATGGTGAGATGTCCGCGCCAGGGGACACAGGTGACCTTGGGGCCACTGAGACTGTGCCCCGAGACAGCACGTTTGGCTGTGATCTCAAGATGGACTGAACCATCCACTCAGCTGCTTCCAGCTAATGGCCACGATTTGAGCTGTTAAGTGGACTGATTACAGATTGGCTTAGGGACCGGGCAAGGTGATATCCAGGCTCTCTTTCGCACTCAGGATTTTAAGCATTGACTTGTTCCATAGCTAAAGGACTTTATTTTACAATTTCCCAACCCTTCAACCGGAGCCTTACTTTATGGATAAATGGCAGGTTGGCAAAACATTTTACCCATTTCGTGTCCTGCCTCCATTTCTCCATCAGGGGAATCCTAAGTTCCTGTGCCCTCAAAGGGGTCTTGTGAGAATGACGCTGACCCGAGCCAGGGGGCAGCTGGGGGGTTGGGATGAAGCCTGTTCCCATGCGGACTGTCTTCATCCGCCATCTTGGTCTCTGTGCCTTTCTACGGGAGGGGTGCCTGGCGGGCTTGCTGGGGTGCTGACTGCCGGTGTTGTTTTCCCTTGGCCACCAGAGCTGCTTTGTCTGCCAAATCACATGCAAGCCAGCGTGAGCAGGAGCTACCTCCAATCCTTGGGCTACTCTGCCCGGGACCTTTTCATTCCCAGCTGGAATGAAAGCTACCGGTGTCAGCCCCAGATAACGGCCAGCCAGGTGACATTCACAATTCCATACTCAGGCTGTGGCACCATCAAGCAGGTGAGCCCAAGGCTTTCTACTCTCTCTCCTACTGAGTGATCTTTCTTAAAGTGATGTGTGCTGTGTTTCTTGAATTCATGATGCTACAGTCAGTGTAATCAGGGTGAAGATTTCAACCTGTCCCTTGATGCTATGATGTAGCTACAGCCGCTTCCAAATGTAAGGATGAGGAAGGAGGCTGCCTTCCGCACCCAGTTTTCCCCACCCTGTCGGGCATAGAGGGTGCAGGGCAGGCTGCCACTCACATCAGCAATGACCGTAGCGCCTCCCAGGGGCAGCTCCAGGTTTTACAGGGCCTGAAGCTTATAGGGTTTGGGATTACGGTTGGTGGGGGGGGGGGGTGCCTCATTAAAGAGAACAATGCGACCTTTTATCAATCTCATAAAAATATATGGCTGGCCAACACACCGCTAGGCCTTGGAAGAAACCATGCATGTGGGAAGCCCTGAGGCTTAAGTTTCATTAGCTTCACAGAAAATCAGCCTCTGCAGCTACCATTTGCTGAGGTGTCACCATCTAGGGTGACTGACTCTCTTGGCTTGCCTGGGACTTTGCAGATTTCAGCATGGCAGAGTCCCATATCCCACAAAACTCCTCGATCCTGAGCAAACTGGACGGTTGCTCATCCTACCGGGGACCAGACACTGGGATTAGCCGGTGCACGCTCCCCAAATCCCCGTCAAGTGTTCTCTCATCATCAACCCACTTTAAAAATAGGCAGGTTGGGCTTCGAAGGGTCAAGCAGGTTGCCCAACACCACTTGGCCAAGAAACAGTAGGGCAAATGCCAGACTCTGGGAATCCCAAAAGCCTTTCCCAGAGTGAAAGAAGCCAGCCACACAGGAGTACTTACTCTTCAATTCCCTGTGTGTAAAATTCAGACACGGAGAACAAGTGAGTGATGGCAAGCCAACCTGGTCGGAGGGGATTGCCTGCAAAAGGGCAGGAAGGAGCTGTTTTGGTTCGTGGAAGTCTTCCGTCTCTTGTGGTAGTGCTGATTGTCAAACCTCGCTGAGTGGCATCCTTACAATGGTGGCATTTAATTTTATGTAAACTCACTTTAAATTATCTGTTCTAAGTTCTGAACGTTTGGCTGACACTTAAGTAATCATTTCAAGATTTCGTCTTCAGGGAACAGGCGCAGTGCAAATGTTTTTACGTGGCTTAGGACTGCAGTAAACACACAACATGAAATGCTCGAACATATATAATGTGTGCAGCACACACACACGTTCAGAGGGTGTCAACTCACCAAAGACGTACTGAGCATTTGCTGTGACCCAGCACTGGGTCAGGTGCCGAGAAGATGCTGTTCATTACCTGGCAAGGTCATTCCTGATCCTTTGACACATAAGAAACAATGGAGACGAAGGGATGGTCATTTAGCCAAACAGATTGGCCTGTTGGCCATGAGTGGGTGCCTAGGCCTGAGGGTCTAAATTGCCACTGTTGCCATTTCCTCAGTCCCTACAGACACTGGCTCCTTTTCCTCAGTCCCTACAGACACCAGCTCTCCTTCTGAGATGAACTGAGTGGGTCAGGGAGACCTACACGCAGAGAAGGGAGCGTATCACTCACACCATGCAAACATTTTAGTCAACCTGGCTTTTTTATATTTTGCCCTATAATTTAATTCTGTTGGATTCTGGTTTGCCATGAGTTTAGTCAGTGGGAGTCAGTGCACCAAAGGTGATTATCCCTCCTGGTTCCAAACATGCAGCCTGGAGACTCTGACATCTGGGTCACCTCATCGATGTTCCTTCGTCTCCATTAGGAGCCACCAAAGCAACGTGCCGGTGCTGGTTCTTCTAACTTGGCTGATGGTGGGCAACACATGCTACATTGTCCTTCCTCCATTTATTTAAATGGCTGCGTCCCCTACCGGGCTGAGGGCCTCAGGGCAGAGCCAACGTCTTATTCGTCTTTGCAGCTCCCAGTGGTGCCCAACCCTTTATAATCATATTATTAACCACTAATCTGTATGCCAGCAACTGAACTAAGTTCTATGTGACTTCCGAAGTTCTCGGGGCAACTTTTATTCCCATGTAATCGTGAGGAAGCGCAGGCTTGCAGGGGTTAAGCCACTTGCCTGAGGCCACCTGGTCATGAACTGCAGAGCCAGGATTCAAAGGCTGGACGGCACACAGCGTCTGACAAGTGTTGGCTGGTGTGTCTGAATAGGTGAGGTCCCCCCACCACAGGGGAGGGACGCCAAGTGGAATCCCGAGTCTGAGACTTCATGAGAATAGCAGTTGACTTATGTGCAAGACTCCCCATTACATAGTGAGTTCCTTCCAGACTGAGCAGACATCTGATAATGAATTGTAATATAAAATCAGAACTGCTTTTTATGATCAACAAATAAACCTTCACGCCACATTCATTGCTTGGAGTGGATTCAGAATTTAGCTTGACCGCAGAAGTCAGGGACAAATGTGAATTCTAAGAAAACTTTGGTTTCAGTATCTGGAGTGACATTGAAGGCACCTCAGCTGGTCTCTGAAGGAGTAACCAAGTGACATCTATATGGTTGCCTTTGACAACCACGTTCACTCAAACATAAAGCAATTCTTTTTTCTTTAATTCGTTTTAGAAAATATAGTGTATTTTCCATGCATGGATGGTGGGCATAGAAGAGATAAGGTCTCCCAACCCCACCAGAAGGATGCCTTCCCCAGACCTGAGTCCAGAAGGTTCTGGTACTCCCCTGCTGTCTGGGGCTGCAGAGACCTCCCCAGCCGCCCAGTGGAGAAAAGGAAAAGTAGGGGAAGGAAGGGTCATAGGGCTGGCAAAAACACTTTAAATTACTTGTTAAAATTTTCTCCTTCCACGTGTTTTTCTGGAAGGGACAAATTCAGTTGAGTTCTGCAACTGCAGGCATGAAGTGAAAGCCTTTCGAACAACGCTGTTTTTAATTTTGGGGAGAGAGAGAGAGCGAGTGAGCTCAAGTGGTGGAGGGGCAGAGAGAGAGGGAGAGACAGAATCCCAAGCAGGCTCCCCACTGTCAGCACAGAACCTGATGTGGGGCTCGAACTCACAAACCCTGAGATTATGACCTGAGCCAAAGTCAGGAGTCGGGCACTTAACCAACTGAGCCACCAGCTGGCCCCCAACACACTCTGTTCTGAAGAACAGTGGTATTTGGGTGTACATACAGGTGCTGGCTGCAGCAGAGAACTTGTCTAGACTCCCAAATAGCCAGGAACTGGGTTTTGTTCTGGACAGGGAACACAACGAAATGTGACGACATGGCAAACCGCTTTTTTTTTTTTTTTTTTAAGAGTAATTTAGCTTCACATTTTAGGACACCACCGTGGTGTTATTTTCGTTCTTGTTCTTGCAAAAGCACCAGTTGCTTGTGAGAATTCATGCTTGGCTAGCAAAAAAAAGTTTGCTTCTGGCCATCGTAACACTGGGAGGGGGAGTGTTACCCCTGCCTCTGCCTGGCAACCACTGGCTTGGGCTCACCTCGCTTGGGGCCAGGTGATCATGACCATGAAGCTGCCAGAGGGCTGCATTTATCTTGTCTTCTTGGCCATCTGGGCCCCATTTTTCATTCATGACAGTACTTTTGCTGAGCCCTGTCCCCTGTGGCTTTCATTCATTCCACGGTTTTGATTGATGCTTATAGAACTGTTGACACCATGCCAAGTCCTGATGACATCATTTTTCCCTTGAGATGCTCACAGACCATGGAGTGCAAGGCTCTCATCCCCAGAAGGTCACTCTTAGGCACATCGAACAGCATGAGAGATCAACATTCCTATGAATTTGCTGTAAAAGGCACAGTAGGAAGCAGTCCCGTGGTAGGGGGAGTGGAAAAGCAGAGTGTGACGGGAAGGACGCCAGCATTGTTGCAGCCCATTCAATTGCCCACCTGAGCCTCTGGGGGAGCCCCCACCCCTGAGGTCGCTTCCCGTCCCGGCGGCCTCAGACACCAAGCTGCAATAGCTACTGAACAGCACAGTGACAACTGATCCCACCAGCCTCTCCCCCAAATACGTCAAATACATGGCCACCTCCCTTGGTTTATCCCAGCCATGGTGAGAAGGAGGCAAAGCCAGCACAGAGGGCCCTGAGCCACGGAGTCCGGGCAGCTTAGTTGTGCAGCACGGCAAGGGGTCATCCAGACACGCCCGTCTTCCCAAGAGGAGCGGCTCCCAGGAAACCCCAACACCTGGCCCACACTGTGGTCCCCATCACATGATAGAGGAAGGGAGTTGTGTGAAAGGAAGGAGTCCTGCTGGTGTAGCAGCATGCCCAGCCCAGGTCGTGGGAGCCGTGGTCACAGCCGCGTGCCTTCTCTGTGTGGTCCTGGGAGGGTTTTGAAGTCTGGCTGAGTCACTTTCCCCTCGTTGTCACCCAAATCAGCAATGAGCTTCCCTCAGCAGGTGACAGTTGCCTGACTTTGCTCTCCTGCCTTCCTCTCCCAGGCCAATAATGATACCATCATCTATTCCAACTTCCTCGAAGCAGCTGCTTCAAATGCCATCATCAAGAGGCATAAGGACTTCCGCATTCATATCAGCTGCAGGATGCTCCAGAACACCTGGATTGACACCATGTACATTGCTAATGACACCGTCGACATCAAGGAAGTGCAGTATAGCAGTTTCAACGTGAACCTTTCCTTTTATACATCATCTTCATTTTTGTATCCTGTGACCAGCAGTCCGTACTATGTGGACCTGAACCAGAACTTGTACCTTCAAGCTGAGATCCTCCATTCTGATGCCTCCTTGGCCTTGTTTGTGGATACCTGTGTGGCGTCCCCATATTCCAATGACTTTACATCTTTGACTTACGATCTTATCCGGAGTGGGTAAGGAGTGTCTTCATGGAGTGAATGTTAGCCTTCACCTGACAATTCAAACCCAAGTAGCCCAAAGTCTCAAGGAATGCAGATTTGGGTTCTAGTGGTTCCAATGTAACCATTCAGGTTGTCATTCCTGGTTCACATATAGGGAGACAGATGTGTGGAGATGGTGGAGACGTGAATGAGTCACCAGCAGTCACCAAGCAGGTTAGCTGTAACTGGGATCTGACCCAGGTGACCAAACTCCATAAGAAGACATATGTGTGGTGGGGAAAGCCTTGGTTCTGCAGCAGATAGAGGTTGAGATGCCAGCTCTGCCATGGACCAGCTGCATTGCTGTGGGCGGGCAAGGGCATCTATCCTGAGCCAGTCTCCCCACCCATCAGATGCTCATAGTGATGCCCACATCATAGGCCGTTGGGAGGATGAGATGGGAGGGAGTAGATGCGGCCCTGGGCAAAGAGCAGGCACAGAAGGTGGGCCACAAGGAAGGTTGTGGGTGAGTAGCAGGGGTCAGCAAGGGTCCCTTAAGCTAGAAGCTGAGAATGGTGGTTCCAACCAAGCCAGTTGGTGGCCAGTGGTGGCCAGACTGCGGTTACTGGTACCCAGGTTGTGCTTCTCTACTACAGTCCTGCTTCCCTGGATTATTTATTTCTGAGAGAGAGAGAGAGAGAGAGAGAGAGAGAGAGAGAGAGAGAGACAGCATGAGTAGGGGAGGGTAGGAGAGACAGGGAGTCACAGAACCTGAAGCAGGTTCCAAGCTCCGAGCTGCCAGCACAGAGCCCAACACGGGGCTTGAACCCACAAACCACGAGATCATGACCTAAACCAAAGTTGGACGCTCAACCGACTGAGCCACCCAGGCGCCCCTTGGCACCTCAGTAACAATCACATAGAAGCACAATTTAGAGGTTGTGCTGATAGGCTAAGGGGCTCTGTTATGAATCAGGGTTGGAAGGTTAAATCTTACACCTCCCTGAGATACTAAAAACAGCATCTCTTTCCAGGCACAGTTTGAGTATGTGTCAATTTGGTAAATAGGTGTTAAGGCCTGTCTCGTTCCATCTATGCAGTTGGCTCCGTTCACGGCAGCCCCCCCCCCCCCCCACCTCTTGGCAGCAAAGATGGGAGAGAAGCTTACCCAAATTCTCTTTCTACAAATAGTAACATGGTGACATTGGAATTTATGTCAAACGATTGAGATTAACACAAATGAGTGATTTGGCTCTTCTCTGCTAAAAGATTCTTTTTGGCCAAATTCTGGCATATATGTATATAAGATAATGCAGTGTCCTCAGGAAAGGGAGATGTGCATGTGGGGGTAAATGTGGGCCCAGCTGTCCCTGGAGTACAGGGATGCATTGGTACATCTCGCCATCAACCAGATCACCCACCTGGGAGCCCTTCAGAGTAATCTGGAGCTTTAAACACACCCATGCCCAGGCCCCACCTGCACATTCTCTTTATTTTGGTCTGTGGTGGGGTTTGGGGATCCATATTTTTAAAATTTCCCCCAGTGATTCTGAAGTGCAGTCCGGGTTCTGGAGCTCTGGCCTACACAGACCGCCATGACTAGTGTGGTTTTTTGGGGAATGCAATCATTTCCCGGCAGCCCCTGAGCTACCCTGACCTCATTTACAACTGTCCTACTTCTGACGAGGCTCTGGGTACTTTCCCTCTCACCTTTGCGGCTAAAGTGACCCCTGTGGGAAAAAAGAACATGGTATTTGAGAGAATGTGCGTTGAAAGTGGAGGAAGGAGCCTCTGGAAGGCAGAAGGAAGACAGCGAGTAGACCCCGGGTCACATTTCGCAGGCAGAGTCAGGGCCGCCCTAGGGACAGCTCCCGTCCACCACAAAAAATCTCCGCCTAAAACCCCACGGGCCAGTTTCTGTGCTCTCCCCTTTGCTACGTCATGCCAAATCCTACCGTAGGAGACACTCACGGGTTAGGCTAGCTCCTTCCTCAGCTCGGGGTGGAGCTGGGAGATACTCCTCATCCATATCTTAGTACAGTTTCTTTCAGGGGATTCTGGTCATGTTCCTTCTAACACAGTGGAGATGAGGCGACTGAGGGAAGAAGGAGGTGGTTGATATTGGAGTAGGGGACGCCGAGGGTAGTCAGGCTCGTGTGGAAAGTACAGCCACCGGGCCAGGTCAGCAGACACAGCCCCGGAGAGAGGGCGGCACCAGAGACACTGGAGAGTAGACACTGGAGAGTGTCATCTTGCCTGGCCCTGAGACCAGGAAAGGAAAAGAAATGCCATCTTCTTGCCTGCCTGCCCGCCCTCTCTCTGAGCCCCGTGACCTCCCCGAATCACCTGGATTGCCAGGGCCGCTGAGCACATGGTCACTGGGCACCCGTTGTGCAATCCGGGGCCTGCTTGTCCGTGCGGCAACCCTGGGCTGATTTCCCGCTTTAAGATGCTGCTGAGGTACCAGAACTAGGATTTTCCTGGAGGCTGCCAGGCCACGTGTGAACCACACGTACTGAGGGAAGGAAGGCGCAGCCGGGAACGCGGGCCTCGAGGAGGCCGTGGGGCTCCACGCCCGGCCCGGGCGTGTCCCGAGAAAGGCAGCGCACCCAGGGCTGACAGGCTGCTTTTCTCCTCTTCCAGGTGTGCCAAGGACAGAACCTACCAGTCTTACTCTCCGCCCTCGCCTCGCATTGCCCGCTTCAAATTCAGTTCCTTCTACTTCCTGAAGCGCTTCCCCTCCGTGTACCTGCGGTGTAAAGTGGTGGTGTGCCGGGCGGACGACTACTTCTCCCGCTGCCGCAGAGGCTGCATCGTGAGGTCCAAGAGGGACGTGGGCTCCTACCAGGAGAAGGTGGACATCGTCCTGGGACCCATTCAGCTGCAGGCCCCGCAGGCTGTGAAGAGGAGCCTGGCCAGGTGGCCGCCCTCCCGCCCCTAGGCCTGTGGCCCGCGCGGACCCGGGATGATTCTGTCGGTGTCGTGGTCCACCTCAAATCGGGCACACCCACCGTGTGCCAGGCCTGCCGTGCCACACCGGGTGATGCAGAGTTCACTAGATCTGCTTCCCGCCTTCTTCCATGGGCTCCCGGTCTACAGGGGACCGTGTGTAGTGCTTGGGCAAGAGAGTTCTCCCCCGTGACACCGATACCTTTGTCCTCTGGGATCTGAACTCCCAGAACCTCATACTCCTCATCTGTAACACAAAAATGTTAACACTTCCCTATTAGGACTGTTGAGGAGCTACAATAAAATAATGTTAAACTGCTTTGGCCTCTACCTGGTTTAAGTTCTTGGGGGTGATGAATGGTGGCTTTTGTTACTATGGTCATTGTCACCAATATCAACAACACAACACTAATGGTAACATTATGATGCATGACAGTAATAACAACAGGGGCCCGTGTCCCCAGGCACGGCGGAATCGGGGTCTAGGCCGTGGGGATGCAGGCAGGATCGGTTTATTCCCGCTGCTCACAAGGCTGATGTCTCCTCGGGGGTCGGCCATCCCACTTTCCTCCTCTTCTAGAACAGGGATCGCATTTCCTGCTCTGCTGTTTTGTTGGCGGTGTGGATGACGACATATCAGCAGACTGATTCCCAGGTTTTCTGGTCCAGGCTGAGACAGGTCAACAGCTGTGGTAGCACCGGTGACAGGGACAGGTGTGGGGTAGTGGTAGTTATCACAAACCCTCCTCTGGGTTCTTGGGTTCCACCCCACGCGGCATCTTTGGCGGCTCTGTCTCCTCGTGTCATGTGTCCTGGTGCGCCCGTGTCCAGCTGATTCTAGGCTCTTACCTCACATAAGCACTCATTCCGTGACCATTCATCGAAGGACTCTTATGTGCCAGGAGACAAACAGAAAGAGATCAAAGTCCAGCCCCCTGCCCCCTGTCCCCATGGAGCTTACATTCCATGGGGAGGGGATGCTATTCAGAGATAAGTTGAGTGCATCGTACTTCCAGTGGGGTGGGAGCTATGGAGAGGACACAGGACAGGGTGACTGGTGACGGGGGGCCAACAGGGACACCGCGGGCACTGCCATCTCTGCTGGAGTCTTCCTGGCTGTGGCAGTCTTCACCCTAGGGCCTCATGGCACCCTCATGGCCAGTGGTTGGCCTTGGAGCCCTAGGATGTGAAACCAGGAGGACTTATGTGGTGCTCAAATATTGGCCCCACCAGCTCTGGAACCCATGTGAGAAAGGAAGAAAAGGGACCCCAGAGTTTGGCACCCAGCATCACCCCAACTCTGTTTACCTTGTCACGGGCACAAGGTGAAGGGCAAGCGCAGACAGGTAGTGGCCGGTTTTCCTGGAAACACAGGCTTGATGCTGGGACAAAATGTGAGGCAAGCAGATGCCAATATCTTCAAATCCTGCAGGCAGCTCTGAGCCAACAGAGAACAAAAAAAGCAGGAGAGCTCTTTCTAGATGGAATCTCTCTCTCTCTCTCTTTTTTACTTATCATAAGCTAGGTTCTTTGGATGTGGTATACTTCTTAGCATTTGCTTATGATAGAAAAGCTGAATAAAGATCTTTTTTCAAAGCAAGTGTTGGTTTGTTCAGTATTTCTAGTGGCTCACCTAAGCCCTGGATCCTTTGGAATTCAGGAAACAGGGTGGGCTGTCAAAAGGAATGACAAAGGCCACAGGCTCTGCCTTGTGGCTTCCACAATTCTAAGGAATAGATAAGGTGTCTTCCTTTGTCCTTGACATGCTTTGGTTCTGCCCAAAGGCAGAAATTCAGGGTAAAGGCTTGAGAAAGATCAGAATGCTAATGCAGCATCACACTTAGTGCCTGAGACTTAAAAGTAAAACATGTTGCTTCAGTTCTCCAGGGATCTGCATCTTCTAGCTTTTGACCAGACATCCAGTGCAGTGAGTGGGGCAGAAGGTGCGGGAGGGGACAGAGATTAGGGAAGAGAGCAAACTCCTCAGGGCCCCTAGATTTCTGGGACCTGTTTGCATTGTGATCTCCAAGGACAAAATTGATTGACAGGTGGCCCTAGGATGTCAGAAGAAACAAAAGGATGGGATGCTTTCCAAGGAGGCAGTAAATTTGACGAAACTGGGAGAGCAACCATACCCTGGGCACCTCGATCACGCTTAGGAAGAATGGGAGCCTTCGCATATTGCCTTGGCAAGGCCAATGTTTGTCTTTCTGAGCCAGGCCGAGGACCCTGGCCCTGAGAGGGGACTGCTAGGGGGAGCCTAACTCCAAGCATGTGACTTGAGCATGGTGAGAACCACAAGGGCAGCGGCTGTAGGCAAACATTCAGGACGAGGGTAGGAGAATTCCAAGAGTTGTGGCCACAGCTACCAGTGGATTCTGGCTGACAGAGAGGTGGGAAGCAGCCGCAGGGAGAAATCTTCAGTTCCCATGGGATGCAGGTGACCCTCCCGCCCCCCCCCCCCCACCTCCCCACTCCGTGAGCTCTGCCAGGGGGCATCAGAGCATCACATCAGAGGAGCAAAGCAACAAGCGGGACATCTAAGAACTGCTGAAAGGATCAGAGCCTAGGAAGCAGCACAGATCATTCATTCGTTCATTCCGTGGGACACCAGCCCCAAGCCAGGCTCTGTGCTTGGCCCTGGAGATACAGAGAGGGGTTAGAAATGGTCCTTTGTAAAGCGGAAACATGCTACACCAGACTCCTCTTGGATTCTTCTCTCTCACTGGGAATATCCCCTCCCACTCAGGAACGAGCCATCCTTCCTGGATAACCACCATGTCCAGACTTACTCCTGGCCATGGGCTCTTAGCCATCAAGGGAAGAGGAAATGGCCCTTTCCTCAGCACAAGGTTGGGCTCTGTATATTTCAGCGAAGTCGTGTGGATGTGGCTAGTGGGGAGCAAGTCTCTCCTCTGGAGCTGGGGCTCTAGCCTCGTAGAGCTGCACAGGAGAAGCCCTGCATCTCCAGCGAGGAGCATATAGGACGTGAGCAGAGCCAAATTTTATGGCAGCTATATAGGTGGGTAGGTGACAGCTTAACAGATACCAGTGAACAGCTAATGTGGACAGAGGAGTGTGGGAACAAGAGATAGGTCGAGGGACAGAGAGGCAGAAGGTATGGCTGTTGGTGACGGGGACATCGAGCCAGTCCCCAGGCTCTGGACAGAGGCTGTAGGAGAGGCCAGAGCCCTCCAGCCAGTCTGTCGGGCAGTCAGGCACCCCGTGTCTGCGCCACCGCTGGGGCAGAGTGGAAATGACATGAGCTGCTGTGTTTTCCAGCAACCCAGACTGGTTTCGGGCAGGGTGCTCACTCCAGGCTGAACATGAGGATTATTCCCGGGAGCTCAAGCTTCTACTGCCAACGTGCACCCAGACCCGTTAGATCAGAATTCTGCGGGGTGGGCCTGACGTTGGTGGTTTCAAATATACAGGGAGTTCCTAACCAGGAACATCCAGAAGAACTGTGTAGAAGTCCTTAAGTGCCTCTGAAGGGGCCAGCTGGGGCCTTGCTACTGAGGAGGTAGAAAGGTCCTTGGTGTCCACATGGGGGGAATCTGGAGGCTGGGCCTAAAGCCTTGCCCTAACTACTCCCAGATGCCTTTTGACTAGATACCTACTCAATTTGTTCTTTTTTTATTTAAAAAAAAATTTTTTTTAACGTTTATTTATTTTTGAGACAGAGAGAGAGCATGAACGGGGGAGGGTCACAGAGAGAGGGAGACACAGAATCTGAAACAGGCTCCAGGCTCTGAGCTGTCGGCACAGAGCCCGACACGGGGCTCGAACCCACGGACCGTGAGATTGTGACCTGAGCCGAAGTCGGACGCTTAACCGACCGAGCCACCCAGGCGCCCCGCTACTCAGTTTGCTCTAAAGAGAACATCTGAAACGGCGTTTTCCAGAAGTACCTCATGTTGCCTCAGCCTATCCGCTTAATAAAAAACCTATGTGGAGATGTTAGTTCCGCATCTCTCACCGGCGCTGACTTTGGACGTGGAGTGAAACGCAATCCCCCCGACAGCTGTGCGGGTCAGCTATCCTGGCAGGGAGGGACACCACGGCTCAGAGAGGTGACAGCACAGAATCCAGGCAAGACAGGGCCAGGGCTTTCCAGATTGGCTGCAGAGCCCCGTCCCCGGACTAGTAGTCTCAGGTGCTCCTCCTTCTTGTGTCCTCAGCCCCAGGGGGACAGGCCTCAAAAGGGTTTGCATCTTCTGCTGCAAAGATGCAAAGGGCTGTGGGGTGGACCCAGGATCTTTAAGGAAACAGGTGCAGCCTGAGGGTTTTTCAGAGGTTATGGACAACCGCAGTCCAGCTGGGTGCGGTGCGATGTCACCGTGTGCCAGGGGGTGTCACTCCTCCAGGCTCCCTCACCTTCAGGACTGGCTCAGAGCCCACTGCCTGCCCCTCAGCTGCACCCGCAGCAGAATGACACCCACACTCCGCCCCAGTGACCAGAACAGCAAGGCAAGCTCCCCTGTCCTGAGTTGTCTCCTCCCCCATCTGCACACACAGCCCGCCTGCCAGCCCCTCCCAGACGGCAGCCTCTCCTGGCTCACACTCCTGCCATGCCTCCTGGGAACACGAGAGGGCGACACAGCTGCGCCCTGGGCCTTCTGCTTCTAGGGAACTTGTTACTTTGTTCCCTTTGGGTGCCTGTGATGGTCCCTCACAGGAGGCTGTTCCACGGTGTTTTGCTCTGATAAAGAGCCCAGTAAAGAGCGGCCTCTGCCTCCTCTCCCCACCTTTATGAAAACGGAGTCCTTCTGTGATCTCAGCAACAGCGGGGTTGATATTTCCCATTCCACCCTGATTCTCATGGCGGAGTGGGGAGGCTGCCCAGCGGCTCCCTGGATACTGCTCCCCAGACCTGTTCCTGGTTCAAGGACCCCTGGAACGAGCAGCACAGATTCTGCCCCAGGTGGGGACGCGTTTCCAGACAGGTGTGAGCTTCCACGTGAGCCCCACGGGGACAGCCTCAGCTCAGAGCCGCTGCAGGGGCCATGGATGGACGTGATTTTCCCGTTGATTACTCTGATGGCTGGGACGCAGGGTACCAAGTCACAGGTAGCCTTGCTACGTGCCAACTGGGAGGAGGTGGTCAGCTCAGGGCAGCCGGCAGCTGTGGTGTGATGCATTTTCAGAAATCGCACAAGTCTGCGATTCATCACAGCCCTTAGGAAAAACTAAGTTGTAAGAACTGAATACACGAATTCATTCAGTTGCATTCACAGCCAAGGTGATAAATGCTCAAACTCATCATTTCACTGTTACTTAGCTCCATTCTATTATAATCTCTCCCTCAGGGTGTATCTA